GCTGTGGCTGTGGCTGTGGCTGTGGCTGTGGCTGTGGCTGTGGCTGTGGCTGTGGCTGTGGCTGTGGCTGTGGCTGTGGCTGTGGCTGTGGCTGTTTATTTTTCAATGACCTTTTCTCTTCTTCAACTTATAGGAGAAACTCCAGTACGTCCACCAATCAATCCACCTACTCATCCGCCAATCAATCCACCTACCCATCCACCAATCAATCCACCTACCCATCCACCAATACATCCACCTACCCATCCACCAATACATCCACCAACCACTATTCCACAAACCTGCGCAACCAACATCGACTTAGGAATCCTTCTAGACCGTTCCGGAGACGTTTCCTACCAAGATTTCCAAAAAGCTAAACAATTCGTGGCCAAACTTGTGAACAAGTTTCATGTGTCTTCTTACGGAACACGCGTCGGTGTCATCCCCTACAGTTACTATGCAAGAGGCCTTCTGAAATTTGCAGATACGTACTACCAAAATCCTTCTTCAGTCAAAAGACTGGTGTCTGGAATCTCGTATGCCTCTGGTCCCACTCGTACCGACAAGGCATTGATTGAAGCTAACAATTTTCTGTTTTCCCATGCGGGAGGTGATCGGCCAGGAATCCCTAACGTGTTGTTGGTCATCACCAATGGCAATTCAAGTCCTTATAATATTCCATATTCAGTGGTGCTCCATCCTTTGAACGTAAGTAGAAGGTTGACAAAACCCCTTTTGGGATCTGGAATTCTTGAGGAAACCCTTGATGTCGAGAAAAGGAATGTATGGGATAATCTGCGAGTGCAGAAGTTGTTTTTCTTCTTGTTTTTTTCGATCGATCATAAAACGCTACTGACTACGGGATTCTTATGCTTCCTTCGAGCTTAGCAACCTCCTGCGTGCACCCAAAACTCGATGGAAGCAGGTTAATAAATGACCAATTCTTTAATGGTGCAAGGTGACGTGATTGAGTATTCGCCTGTGTAATAGATATTTTGTTAAATTTTGTTTTGAATTTTTCTTGATTAACAAAATGTTTTTACGCTTTTGCTATGTTATGAAAGCATTGCTCATAGATTCCATCGAGGTTTGGTGCACTTGGACGGTTGAAAGTCGTATTCTTTTGCTCATGTGACCTTTTTGTTGTTAGAGCAAAGCTGTAAAGGTGATATCTGTTGGAATGTCTACTGGTAAACAGATGCCTGGTCTACTAAATATTGCTGGACACCAACATCAGAATGTCTTGGGTATTGATGATCTAAATGCTGTGGTCTCTGCTGCGTGTTCTAAAGTACCAACACTAGCACCTCGGCCATTAGGTGAGGGATTGTTCTCTTTTCAAAAAATCTCCCAACCACCCAACCACCCAACCACCCAACCACCCAACCACCCAACCACCCAACCAC